CAATGGGATTTTTTTTTTTTTATAGCATTAATGGTGGGTTATGCTACTTTTGAGTGCTTACACTGTACATATGAGATATTAAACAACCTCCCCGAAAAAAACCAAACCCGTTGCCATTGGGTAGATTCTAACTGGTAGTGACCCTACAGGACAGAGTAGAACTGTCCTGTAGGGTTTCTAAGGAGAAGCTGGTGGATTCAAACTGCCGACCTTTTGGTTAGCAGCTGAGCTCTTAACAACTGTGCCACAAGGGCTCCACATATACAAGACTTTAAAGCATGTTCCCTTCTCATTAGTACCTTAGAATTTTGATGTAGACTGAGAATTTGTAGAAAAGCTTCCTAATGTAAGGATATACATTTTTAAATCAGCTATTGAATAGGTAATAACGTGTACATGTGTGAAATACAAACATGTACAAAATTGAAAAGGTACATGAGACTGTATAGGAAAAGTCTACCTTCTATCCCTATCTTCCAGGTATTCCTCCAGCCCTCCCATCCAGAGTCAGCACTATTGCTGTATATGAGCATATATGCATATACTCTAAAAAACATAAATGGAGTTTACTACTTTTGGCTTTTCACTTAATTTTGTAGAGCTCATTTATTTGTTTAGTGTAGCTGTTTTATTTTAGTGGAGTCTGTTGCCTACCCCGACCCCCTGCAGTGTTAAACCTCTGATGTTTCTCCTCAGGGAGTGCAATCTTGGATATGCCCAGTCACCTTGGGATGACAGTGGTTTTGGCGGGGGCTGTCGTTGACCATCTTTTTTTCCTGATCACACCTAATGATGTATCGCCACTAATTACAGCCTGATTGCTTTATTGTTTTCGACAGCACCCTGGGCATAAATTGCTCTACATACTAATAAAACCAAATTCAGGCTCCTTAAAAAGGATGCTGCTAACCAAAAGGTTGGAGGTTTGAGTCCACCCAGAGGCACCTAGGAAGACAGGCCTGGTGATCTACCTCTGAAAAATCAGCCACTGAAAACCCTATGGAGCACAGTTCTATTCTTGACACATATGGGGTCCACATGAGTCAAAATTGACTCCATGGAAACTGGTTTACTTGTAGAAGGAATAGTTCCTGAAGTCTGTGTTTGAGATTTCTTTTGACTCCAGAAGAGCTCCTCCTCACGTCTCTTTCCCTTCTTCTCTACTGCAAACTTGCCAAGCTACAGTTTAGCCTCTATCTGCAGTGAATCTGTCAGTCTCCTCCTAATTGCCCTTCACCACATCTCCACTATTTTTGAGAATGCCCTTAGGCTTGAACTTCTCCATGTTCTGTTACAAATGAAGTTAGTTCCTTTGGGAAGAGATGAGGAGCTGTTTTATGGCCTGCTTTTCCCTCAAAGAACACTCTCTGACCCATGACTCTGGGGATGGGGATAGTGACAATGGTAATGGTATACTCCTCTCTGCGTGACACCCTTGCTTTGTGACTTGTATGTTAGGAGGACAGTAACCTCAGGTCTTCTCGGTTTGCCTCTCTTAGCATGGAACCAACTCCTTATGACCCAGTGCAGGGGTGATCAAAAAAACCAAACCTGTTGCTGTCGAGTCAATTCAGACTCCATAGTGACTCTATAGGACAGAGTAGAACTGCCCCATAGAGTTTCCAAGGAGTGTCTGGTGGATTCGAACTGGCGACCTTTTGGTTAGCAGCTGTAGTTCTTAACCACTATGCCACCAGGGTTTCCTCAGGGGCCCTCAGGGCCCCAGTATTCGGATATTCATGCTAGAGCCTTTGCTGTATCATTGGGAGCTGAACGTAAGAAAGGAGTCCTTAGCTCTCCGCTGCACTCGCCTGGAAGTTAGCCTCAGTAGGTAGCTGCGGGCAGGATGAGAAACACTGACGTCCTGCCCCTTCCAGGACGATAGCCCTCGAGCTAGGAGCTGGGAAGAGACCTCATGTTGGCTGTGTACCAGTCTGGAGCGGAGTTTCCCTCTTGCTGAGCTGGAAAAGGAGAGGGAGGGCGCAATCTGGTTCAAATAACACAAACTGTCACTGTTCTTACCAGATTTTACTAGATTTGCTTGAATAGATGATTCTTCATTTACTTGACTATTTCCAGAGACTTTAATGGCTGTTTTTCTTCTAGTTTTCACCACTTTCGTTAGGATGTGGGTCTGTGGAGTTCCTTACGTTGTCATGCCAAAGGTCTATCCCTATGCTAGTTATTTCTTATTTCTACCAAAAAATATTTTGTGACTCATTAACATGTTCATTTTTCTTTCATTCTCACTGATGGAAAACTGATACCTACTTCCATTCTCGCTTTAGTTCTCTTTTCTGCAGGCCAAACTAACCCCAATGTTTGTACTTTCTTTAAAAGCCCTGTTAAAGGGCCTGACTTAATTATTTTTCTTGTTGTTTGAAAACTTTTATTTTTAAAAAGAATTCCATAGTTACCTAAAATAATGAATCTTAATAGTATTCCTAGTGAGGACCTAGACAATAAGAAATTTAACTTCTAGCTGGCATATTTTTGGCCTGTTTCTGTAAATTCTTATTTTACATTTTGGAGAGTCATCCTTTTTTCTGAATTCATTGTCTCTTTTACCATTTTTTTCTAAGTGGTATGCTTTGTAGTACCCTGTTAAATCAAAATCTTTTCTTCTTTTTTTTTATGTAATGAATTATAATAAGAAATCACTTCGAAAGTGTTTTTGTATTTGGTCTAGGTATAGACATGATATAAATTTAATTCTGGATGGAGGTGAGACTTTTAGAGTTCAATTTTCTGGTCTGAATATGATGATAGATGTGTGGGAAAGATTAATTTTTTCATTATAAACACTCTAGGAAATAACTTAGCTATAACCTAGACTCTTCAACCTGAAAAGGAAGGGAAAAGGCTAAGGGAGGAAAAGATTTTATCAAAGATTTTTCTGAAATTAAGAAAGTCTTTAGGTACACATCCAAGAGGAAGGAAAGCATATTTCCCCATGAAAATTTGTGTTGCATGTTCATCATAGCATTATTCATAGTAACCAAACAATGGAAACCACTCGAATGCCCATCAGCTGATGAATGGATAAACAAAAAGGTGTATACTATACAACGGAATATTATTTGATAATTAAGAAGGAATGCAGTACTGATACATGCTACAACATGGATGAACCTTGAAAACGTTGTGCTAAGTGAAAGAAGCGAGTCATAAATGAACATGTATTGTAAGATTCCATTTATATAAAATATCCAGAATAGGCAAAATGTATAGAGACAGCAATTTAGATTAGTGATTGCCTAGGGCTGTGGGGTGGGAGAATGGAGAGTTACTGCTTAGTGGGTATGTGGTCTATTTTTTTGGGTGATGTTCTAAACTTAGATTGTGGTAATGGTTGCACAACTCTGTGAATATCCTTAAAAACATTGAGTTTTGCACTTTAAATGGGTGAGTTTTATGATATGTGAATTATCATCTCAATAAAGATGCTAAAATCAAAGAGAAAATCTAATCACCTGTTATCTTTTAGAATTTACAAGAATGAATGAGAGTGTGTGTGTGTGTGTGTGTGTGTGTGTGTGTGTGTGTGTACCAAGTATTAATTGGGCCTAACTTGCAAGGCTTTTGTGATTATACAAGTCGGAATAGGATCAAATTTGATATTCTTGGTAGGAAATCACTTGTATATGTGGAGAATATTTTGTGGTTTAATATATGTTGACAGGTTGTTTTAGGTATATTATAAATTTACTGGAAGGTTTGGTTTTTGTTTATTTCTAGTGTTATAGTTAAGTTTTACAATTTCAAAGATTTTTCCCTTTTACTGTTTTTTAATGATTCTCAGAAACATTTACTAATAACATTAATACTTTACTATAATTTCTACCATTTATACCTCAGAAACCATTGATGTGAAAAATCTTTACCTTTTGAATATAATAGTTCTTAACCATGTCTCTTCAAGTATTTTAGCATAGAGATTTAGATCATGTGGTTATATTTTAGTTTTTTCCTCACTGATTACATCCCCCTTCCCCCAAGTAATAAAGAAAAAGAACATTTGTTTCGTAGGTGGTCCTCTTGTGCTGGATATTTATGATACCTATTTTTTCTCCAGAATATCTATTTTCTCTTTCTTATAAAGTGTCTTAGTTATCTGGTGCTGTTAAAACAGAAATACCACAAGTGGATGGCTTTAACAAACAAATTTATTTTCTTACGGTTTAGGAGGCTAAAAACCCGAATTCAGAGTACTGGCTCTAGGGGAAGCCTTTCTCTCTCTTTTGGCTCTGGAGGAAGGTCCTTGTCCCTTCAGCTTCCTGGTTCCTTGGAGATCTCAAAGTGTCTTGGCATCTGTCTTATCCTATCTCTGCTTCTCTTGTTTCTGCTTGTTTAATCTCTTTTATATCTCAAAAGAGATTGACTCAGGATAACATCCTGCACTAATCCTGTCTCATTAACATAACAAAGACAACCCATTCTCAAATGAGATGATAACCATAGGCGTAGAGGTTAGAATTTACAAAACATATTTTTGGGGGCATAATTCAGTCCATAACACAAGAGTATCTCAGTATTGCCTTTTGTCTTTTCTTTTTTTTTTTTTAAAGAATGAATTCTTAGGAGAAAAGACACGGTAATATTCCCTGTAACTTCTTCTAAAATCTTAAATTCTTATAGAAGGTTAGGTTCTTTTTACCCTATTAAATTGTTTTCAAGGTAAAAATAGACGAAAATATACATCTGTCTGAATACATATGAAATGAAAACCTGTTGTTTTTCTAATCCTTTTTTTTCCTTTTAATAATTCTCAGTACTTTTAAAACCATGTCAGAGTAACTTTCTTGAAGGAAGGTTATCTTTAAAATGTTTTTTAAATAGAAAATTGTATTCTAAAAAACTTTTTTTTGAAATTATAAAATTTGTTTAGTTGTTTTTTCTCAAAAGACTTGAGTAACCATTATTCTCCAGATAGAATAGTTTTAAATATGATTTAGAAAATTGGTGTGTAATGTATTGGATTATTCCCCCTTCTTTTTCAGGAACTCTTGGTGTGATAACAGAAGCTACAATAAAAATCAGACCAGTGCCTGAATACCAAAAGTATGGCTCAGTAGCTTTCCCTAATTTTGAACAAGGAGTAGCCTGTTTAAGAGAAATTGCAAAACAGGTAAAAAAGAAAAAATAAAAAAGGATGCATATATGTGTGTTTATATTTTTAAAATTGTGCAATAATTGTGATATGTCACAAATTATATTTAGTTGTTTATATTTGTGTTCTTTTTCTCCAGTTCTGTATAGAAAGGTAATGTTATAAAAATCATTCCTTTAAGTGCACTTGGTATTTCTTTCAGTAATTGTTATCACACCTATTTTCTTGGTGACGGCAACAGGTTTGGTTTTTTTGGTACAATTTTAAGCCAAGGTAAGATACGTACTTGGTTCAATGGCTTCAAATGACTGCCTTTTATTAAATGTTATATTTTCTTAAGTTATTTTTGGGTAAGATATTTTGCAGTTAATTGAAGTAATAGTTCATTTTCTTAAATTAAGACATTTATTGAAATTAAAAGAAGTGGCTGGATATCAGTGACCCCAAAATTTAGAAATTGAATATACCTAATCAAACATTTATAGTTCTTAGAATGTGCTGCCATTAAGCCCTTCTTCATTTTATAATATTATCTAAGATACAGCTTAAATATTGTAGCATAGTATATTTAGTTATAAACTAAAAACAATTCTCATGTTCTTGTCCCTTCTTAAAGGATATTTTATCAAGATATTTTAAAAGACTAGATAATGCCAAGTATTTTTTTTTCCTCTGTTTAATTCTGTGTATCAGTGTGGAAAGTTAATGCATTTCTTTAGGTATTTGGGTCAGTGCTTGAACTATAATAGTTTGTGAAAATTTTTTATTTCAATATTTTCCAGCGGTGGGGAGTCAAGGGAGTATACTTCAGTCCCTTTCTTGCTTTTTCTAATCTCTTGGAGTTCTTTAATACTTCCCATCAACCATACCCAACTAGAATCTTGAGGGAAAGGGAGATTTTTTGATGTGACCCATGTAGGCCATCTTCCCGATATCCAGAGCAGGGTGGAGGGAAGATCTGGCAAGGCAAAGGAAGAATATCTAGCAAGTAGCCCATATTCACTGTGGACTTTTGTGAGGTACTGAAAATGGAAAGTGGCAAAGAATTTCATCTTCCTACGATCCAGAAACAGCTACTATTAATATTTTAAAGAAATTTAAAATGAGAATAAATATTTTGTATGTACCCACATATTTATGATTTCCATTGCTCTTTATTCTTTTGTGAATCCAAGTGTACATCTGGTATCATTTTTTTTTCCTGCCCGAAGAACTTCTTTTAACATTTCTTGTTGTGCAGGTCTTACCTTTTGGCTAAACATTTTTATGTTGCCTTTTGTGCTGCATGTTGTCTAATATCTGAAAAAAAATTATTTGATATAGCTTATTCTTTTCCACTTATTAGTGGCAAGAGGGTAAGTCTAGATCCTGTTATTCCCCTGTGGCTGGAAGCAGAAGGTCAGTGTTAATGTTTTGATGTATTTTAACGTTTTTTTCAGTGTGTAGGTTCTTAATGATTTTTTTTAAAGGTAGTTATAAACATACAACTACTTTTTAAAAATACAATTTAATACTTTGCATTTTTAGCCATATTTCTATTCATGCTGCAAAAATTTGCCTGATGAAGGAGAACTAGATGGCAACTTATTCTGTTTGCTCATAGATTATTTGCATTGGGATTTTTATTTCCAATAGTTCATGGATATTTGCGTTGAATACAATGCATATTTAACATATGTTTAACTCTCAGGTGGAATGAAATAAAGTCTCTCTTGACTGTTTAATCTTCCCTAAGATTATTTCACCTCCTCCCACACTTCATTTTCCATCTCTTGCTGGTGATTCTAAAATCTGTCCTTCTCTCCTGAGCTCTGTCTTGATGTTTCTAATGGTGTACCGGGCCTGTCCATGTGATTATCCTGTAACCACTGCACACTTGTTTAGGAACTGAACTCATTATTTCTTCTCTTTCTCCTGGCAAATTTTCAAAACCAGGTCTTAGGTCACATCCACAAATCCTTCCTTAATTTTCTTAGTCAGTTAATTTTTCTTTCTTCTCTTTTAAACCATACTTTGTAAATCTGTATACACCTTGTCTTGTTCTATTATTTATATATATGTCTCTCCCACTAGCTCAAGAGCTTGTTTCTGTATCAGTGCCTGTTATGTAGTTAGATTTCAGTGAACATTTGTTGAATGATTAGAAGGCATGTAGTGGATTGAGGAGAGAAACATAATGTGAATAAAGAAGATTTAAAGTAGAGAATTTTCAGCAAGTCAGACATGACACAGAATTTCGGCTCAGATACTGAACATTTGGCTAGTGTCTTTAGATTATAATACTGGGAATTAAAGAAATCCTGTGTTAAGATTATGAGTATCTAAAGAGTTTGCTAGGTTCACTTTAGATTTGAGCATAAAATTGTCAAATACAAACACTTCTTCAATCTGGAAGTCCAGAAAATTAAATAATATGAGGACAAAAATACTGCGTATTATTACTGGCTGTTTCCGGGCTGAGTAACATTAATATGCACTTAATGTAGAAGGCCACAATAAAATTATAGCTGGCTCTAGCATCTATTCAGTCACCCTAAGAAGTCACCCTTAAAGCCATGTTAGATTCCTTCTTTTTTTGCTCACTGCTTATATGCGCTTGGACCTCAAGTAGTTTGGGTTCAAATCTGAAGTCTACTACTTAGTAGCTATGTGGCCTTCCTTACTCTGCCTATTTTCCTCATTTGTAAAATGAAATAATGTTGTTTGTTACCTTTAAAGTTTCTGTTATCATCATTCTTCTTCACCACCAGCACCACCAGCACCACCACCATCATCATCATCATCATCATCATCATCATCATCACTACCTCCACTAAGTCTGTTGACTATACCTGGAAGCTCTTTTTTCCCCACCCTCTCCACCCCTAAATGTCATCTCCATCCCTACTGATAATGCGCTGGGTGAGTCCTCATCACTTTTTACCTGAATTGCCACATTGATTTTCTAACTAGTCTCTTTCTCTTCAGTCAGGTTCCATCTGCCCCTATAGTCAAAGTGCTCTTTCTTAAACACATGTCTTAAAATGTCATTCTCCTGTTAATCCTGTGATCATTGCCCTCACTGAGGTAGGGGGAGATGGGGAAAAAGAAAAGACCATTGCAGGCTTGAAGAACAATATGTGGAAAAGTGCAAAGATTAAAAAGACACAGTATGGTTGGGGCCAGATATTGCAAAGTCTTACATGATACTAATAAGTATAAATTTGTTATCAACAACTCACTCATTTTGATAGATGGTCTTTATTTAATCCTGATATGAAGAGACTGATCTTCATCTGCTTCTCCTTTTTGACTTTTAGCTCACCCAATTAGAAAGTGGTATAGTCTTAAATTCAGCTCCAGATACTTTTTGCCAGAGATCTGTCCAGTACCACCTGGTGCTGCCCATACACTCAGAGTTTTGCTAAAACAACCTTCTGAGGCACTCATTTAATGTGGCAGTTTTCTACTTTCAGGAAATCCAACTACATGAGCACCTAAAATTGACAAGGATAGTGTTTATAATTTTCAAGTAACTTCAATTACTTTTCAATAAGATTGCTTCTCCCATCTAGACATAGTATAGGTCTCTTTAAGCTTGATTACCTGTCTACTCCTGGGGGAAGAGGAAATTAAAAAACAGAATAGTTCTGGAATGAACATTCTTAGTAGACTTTGGACAGGTTGCCTCGGTGTGGGGTTAAAGCATAAGTGAATGTTAACAGTTGAAATCCTTATATAAGAGCTCTTGATTCACTAGAACTTTGGGAATATCATGTCATGATTAGGGAAATAGAGTATTATTCTATTATGCCATGTTTGCTGAAATGATGGGATCATAAAATATTTAGAAGCAGGATTATTAAGTAAAGGGGGAGTGGAGAGAAGTTTTACGATTAATCAATATTTGCTATGCTAAAATAAGGCCTGAGCACTGAGCAGGGAAGTTCAAGCATCTTCCAATACTTGTTTCTAAAACTTTTGGTCACTTAAAGGCCAAGGAAAGTAACTTCAAATTTAAGGTGTTAAGGTATCAAGAAGTAAAAGAACTACCTGCAGAGCCTTATGGTTTTGCCTGTGAGTTAATACCTAGAAGAATGGGAAGCTAGACTTTTCAGAAAATAACCAGTTCATCAAGTAAAAAAACAAATTTTTGCTGGTTGAATGGATACGGGAAATCAGGGATGGAAAGGAGGAGTCTGCTGTCACAGTATAGGGAGAGCAATTAGGGTCACATAACAATGTGTGTATAAATTTTTGTATGAGAGACTAACTTGAATTGTAAACTTTCACTTAAAGTACAACAATAAAATTAAAATTTTTTTTTCATGTCTAGGTTATATTTTCTTGTTAATTTCAAATCTTAATTTTTTTTTAATTCAAATATTTTCACTTTGGATTGTAATATATCCTTTGTGTTAAGTATTTTTATTTACTTTCCTCTATTTCTATCAACTTTGACCATTTCCCCTCAAAAATTCATATGTCTCTCATGTTCAGGTTTTTGAATGACATCTTTCAAATTGACCATTATTGCCTCTATTTTTTAAAAATAATATTTTATTGTGCTTTTGGTGAAAGTTTACCCAGCAGATTAGGTTCCCATTCAACAGTTTCTATACAGATTGTTCAGTGACATTGGTTACATTCTTCATAATGCTTCAACATTCTCATTTCTGTTCTGGTTGTTCCATTTCCAGTACTCTAGTTTTCCTACCCCCTTATCTTCTCATCTTTGATTTAAAGTAATTGTTGACTGTTTGGTCTCATATATATGATTTTTTAAAGGAGCGCAGTACTCACAGGTAATATTCTTTATTTTGTGAGCCAATCTGTTATTTACCTAAAAGGCGACCTCAGGGAATAGTTTTGGTTCAGGGTTTAAAGAATATCTCAGGACAGTAGTCTCGGGGAGTCCTCTAGTCTCAACCGGTCCAGTAAGTCTGGATTTTTTAAGAAGTTGATGTTGGTTTCTGAATTTTTTAGCCATTCTATCAGGATTTATCTGTTGTGGCCCTGATCAGAACAATCAGTAGCGG